CGCTGCAGTGAAATAAAGCACATTCACACAATCACACCCACCGAGCAGCGGTGTGAACTGATGCAATCAGAGTTGCAGAAAACAAAAAAAGGTATTTCCATTCCTTCCCTCCCATATCCCTCATTGGATTCATAAAAATATTTATTTCAATATGCACAACAGTGGCCAATTATAAAGAAATCTTCAACATTTCAGTAACTACGGTAACGGTATATGTCAAAGGTAGTGGCTAAATAATAAACACAATTGTTAGAAACAAGGTAGAAATGAGGAAAGGTATAAATATGACCTCTTGGGTATTACAATCTCTTGCTGAATTACACTTTTCCGCCATACACAGTGGTGCCTACAGAAACAAGTTCAATTTATTCCGTGATCGTTCTCGTAACTCAAAACACACATGGTCTCTTCAAATCATCTTACCCCGTTGAAATGAATGGAAATGCCAATCTGTCAGTTCCAGTCTCCCATTCCAAAACAAAAATGTTTGATATTTGTTTGGAAAAATAGTACTTCATAACACTGTACTTCATAAAAACAGAGTAATACCAACTGAATAGAATGTAAAGAAGCAATTTTTGTATCGTGATTTAATGCTGCAATCCAATTCATTGTGCGGTTCCTTCTAATATCCCGGTCTTGGCCACCTAGGGGCAGTAGAATACTGTACTGTGATGTAATACAGACACTAATGGTGGATAAAGAATCTATGAATTCCACCTACAAAGCTTCAACAATTTGCCTCCTCCATTCCCAAACGTTTATTGAATGTGAAAAGAAAAGGTGATGTAACACAGGGCCAAACATGACCCCGTTGCAGCTTTTTTTGGAACGTCTTGCAGCCATAAAATTCCAAATTCATGATTATTTGCTAAAAACAATAATAGTAGTTTGAACATGATATATCTTGTCTTTGTAGTGCATTAAATTAAATATAGGTTGCATTTGAAAAATACTCCATATATTAAAAAATATATGTAACACAAATAAAAACAAACAAAAAAAGCATTTCCAAAAATATAACAGTTAAAAACTAACAAACCTGCTCTAAAAGTAAAGAAAACCATCTGGATTTAAAAATCAAAACGAAATAACTAACAACAATGAAAAATCCAAAACGATCACATCCCTGGTTCACCAGATGCTTAAGGAAAAGAAATCGGCCGTATGATGGCCTGTGTCTCATAAAACTCCTAAGTAGGTTTACTCCAATCGGCAGGCAGCCACTGTCACAGGAGAGGAGCGGAAGTGATTTGTGCACCCACTGTCATTGCCGTGTCACCACCATACCATTTACCTTCTCACACCCTTCAAACCATTCATGATAGTTTACCGCTAAGAACTTTTTGGCCGGTATCTTATCCCAGCCTGCAGAAACTTTAAAGGATGCTCTTTGCTACAGTGAATCAGAAAGATCTTGTCACAATTAACATGGGTATTTATAACATTGTGGTGCTGAATGACACCAAAGTCTGAATAGTACAGTAAAAAAAAAAAAAAACAATTTCTTCAGCTCGAGGCCGAATTTTATTGTATTACACAGTGACTTACCCTACACAGGAGAAAGCCATGCTCAATTAGATCTTCCCCTTGATTACCAACCACTGCAGAATCAGGCACTCCACCCATCCATTATCTTCCACTTATATGGGGTGCAGTTACAGGGACATCAACCTAAAAAGAGAAGCCCGGACTTCCTTCACCCCACTCCCCAGCCACATCATCCAGCTCTTGAGGAGAGACCCCCAAGATGTTCCCAGGTCCCCTAAGAGACACAGTCTCTCCAGCCTCCTTCCAAAGGTCCCGTGCCCGAACGGCGTCCAGAAGGTATCCTAAATAGATGCCCGGGCCACCTCATCTGTCTCCTTGCAATATGGAGGAGTTGCAGCTCTACACTACAATCATGCCCTTGACAATTTCCAATGCATTTTAATTCACTCCCCGTGGTCTTTTCTTGTCCTCGGTTTGCTTTGGCTTATCAATCTTTAAAAGGCCAGAGATTAAATTGATTCTAAAATAGATGGGACGTTATTCTAGCATTTACATGATCGATTCAGATGGGGATGTTGAAAAAAAGACAGCACAGAAAGTACTCACCTCAATAAATGTGTCGATATTATCCATCAGAGCCTGAGCTCGACCAATGATGAACTGGTTCACACATGCTATGGCGTGGGACCTGGGTGGAAGAAAAGCATATGGAATTTGTTCAAAAAGTTCCAATTCAATATTTTTCCAACACCTTACAGGCGTGGTAAATTACATATTCATAGAAATACATGAATATTTGAAAAGATTATTTTACTCAAAAACATTAAACCGATGTTTGCATGAATTAAACAATGTAATTAGCAAATTGGTAATTGCACTTGTTTATGCTCTGAATTGAACAAGCAAACCATTTAACAAATTTCTGTGAGAAAAGCAATGTTAAAAATGTTCAAACACCTTAAGCCCTGACACAGCAACATTCCATTTTCATGCATTTTCATAAATATCAAGCACCGGTGGAACATTTGTTGAAATATAATTCCGACTGACCTGATCTTGGGGCTGCAGTGTTTGAAGAACTGCAGAAATTTGGGAATCATGATGTTGAGTGGTCTGTTCAGTGCATCACTATCCAGCAACTCAGAAGAGTCTTCGCAGATCTTTTGCAAGGCTCCAAAAGAACCCTAAAAGATAGGTTCACAAAAACCCACACAACTGGAATCATTACTTACTGTAACAAAAGCTGTATTCTTTGTTTGAGTGTGATGCCATGCCTGTCTGACCTCACAGGTGTTGTAGTCCTCCGAATTCAGTAAATTGCAAAGCTGTGGTAACAGTTCCGGCCATGTTTGCAGCTCCCCTTTGGAGGCTATAGTTGTGATCAGGATACCTTAACGAAAATAATAAACATGAATAAAACATGCATAAAATATCAAACGAAAAAAAAAAACAAAAACAAGAAAAAGAAAAAGTGACATGATTACAACCACATTAACTGGAGGACACAATCCACCACCGACAAAACAGTCTGCCACACACTGGCTACGAAATAAATATTAGACTAGCTTTAATCTGTCCAATCTCTCACAGCACCCACCAATTGTAGCTCTGATAAGTGGTGAAGGGTCTCCAATGTTGTTGAGACATTCTCGTTTGATGAAGTCAGCCACATTGGGAGGGAAGTTCTGGTAGTGAGCCTTAACGTTGTTCTTCAGTATCAGGCCACTGAGCGATCGAGTGGGCTCATCTAGAGAAAGACGGCAACAAAGAGATTAAATTACAATGTAACGTACAACTGCAATACTATGAGTGGCAAGCAAGTTGAAATGATTTTTTTTGAATGAATATGAAAATACTCACCCTCTGACTTCAGGCTTGTGAGGACAAAAATTAGATAGTTGTTGAAATCTGGAAACTGGTTAAGTTGCTCCAGTTTCTGTGGGCTGTGTTAAGGAGTTTAACCAGCTAAACACATGTTACAAAAGCTCACACACCCTCACATACCTAAAATGGTTGGATGACTCTTTAACAGTGGTGTTAAAATACAAACTAGTTGCTTTTTCTTTCCAAGCACACTGACAGACATAGGTAAGGATACTTCTTGCACTGCTCTTTGCGTTGCTGTGTCTGGAGACTGGGAGTCCTTGAGAAGTTGAAGCACTTGTTGGAGACTTTGCTCATCTGGTTGCCACTCCATCCTGCAGCACAAAAAAATACTGTCCTTGTAAAGCAGAAACAATCTGCGTTTCCCTAACTAGCCTAATTGTCAGGTAAATCGGACAGTAAGTAGCACGCTTAGGCTTTTCTTGCTGTAAAACTGTAAATATAACGCCCATCCATCCAACGTACACCCCTAAGTGTCGCGGGTGTGTTGGAGCCTAACGCACCTGAGAGACGGTACCGTATACACCCTGGACTGGAGGCCAGCCAATCGCAGAGTACATAAATACATACAAACAACCTTTCACACCTAACGGTAATTTAGAGTCTTCTGTTACCCTAACCAACCAACTTTAACGGGTCACATTAATATGAAGATTCCACAGAATACCAACATTGCGAAAGTCCCATTGTGACGCAACGAGCATCGCCATGTTAGGTTACATTTATTAGCTGTTTTGATTTTATCTGTTCGTGTGATTAAACGGCCGTTATTTGGCAAATAACTGTTTTAAGGAGCCTATAGTTACGAAATAATGATCGGACTAATCGTATAACATGAGGCCCAGACTACACGGGCACAAATGTCTGGCTATGTAGCTAAGCGCCGTTTTAATCGTTAATACGTAAACTGCAGCATAGAATACGATCGCAGACAGTCTTGGGTTAATTACCACTGCAGCGCCTTTACAATAGCTGGTGTTTGGGCTGAAATCGCTCCTGCAAAGACCGCACAACTGAAGCGTATGAATATTCATAACAGAACCGTCGCGAATCAAAACCTCCGGCAGCTAGTAAGTAGCACGGCTAGCTAGCATCTGCTTGAATGTGCCGCGAAAATGTTACCTGATCGCTCCGATGTATCAAACGTACGCTTCTGTAGGCAATCTTATGGCTAAACTAAGGCAACTAACATTAACGTAATATAACCAGGCTCTGTTTAATCGAAGCGATCTTCAGATCTCCGTAGATTTTTGTGAGTGCTATGCCGCTAGGTGGTATGTGACAGAGATTGCATGCCTTGCAATCAAGCCGGTGATCGCCGTGAACTCACTCAGCTTCCGTACTGGGCGGTCCGTCATCTATAGTCTATGTGATTTGACAGGACTGTCAACCAACTGATTTTCTGACATTCCCTTACACCTCTAACAATGATGCATTTTTGGGGTTTTACCACCCAACTGTCATATGGATGAAAAACAAGTTTGACTCAACTGACCACGAATGAAACTATAGTAATTCCTTCTTTGATAATTCTGTAAGAGGCACAGTTCTGAATCAAGAATTCACAGAGGTAGGGATTTTCCAGAGCAAGGTATACTGCACGTCAAGCAAGAAGAGGAAGACACTTTCTTACGAATGACACACGACTTTATTGAACATACACACAAATTAGTCTAGCCCACCTATGCACGAAAAATCATATAGTCACACAATTAATGACTTGGATGTAAAATAGCCCGCGACCCGAGTGGGGAAAATCAGCTCAGATAATGGATAGATGTAAAATTTTTGAAAATTCAAAAAGTAGAACGCTGCATGTGAGATGGGACTGTGTTTAGCACAAGGAGCTGATTTCACTCTTGCTGCAGCCCCACTTGCAACAGGCATTGGACAGTCCCACCACAACATCCCGTCCTTTTCTATCTGCACTTCGGAGAGCCTCCAAGACCTCTTCCGAGATAGGCGAGCGAGCCGAGCGGCTGAATCCAGCGGCGACAGATGCCACATCAAATGTCGGGTCCTTCCATACGTTGGATTGTGCAGGATCCTGCTCACTGGCCATTTGAGGGAAAGGATTTGGATTCCATTGGTCAAAAGCCTCATCTCCAATAAGAGCTGATATGAAGAGAAATTACAACTTCTTTTAGAATGAATAATTTTATAGACGATTTACTTCACTTTACAGGCAGTCTTACCTGCATCTCCAATGCTTCTCCTCCAGCGAGAGCCACCACAGGTAAAAATGACAGCACGTATAAATTCTCTACCGCACAGTTTCATTCCATAGAAAGAGGTATGGGCTTCACTCGGCCGTACCTTGCCTACCAGTGCCACCAAGAAACACAGTGTCAAGAGTGCTGCCTTCCACATGTTCCTCAAAAATCTGCTGTCGTTGTCTCACTGTGCAGAAAAGGTCTCAACAAACCCAAATGAGGTACCTATTTGCTGACTGTTTCATTTTGGACATCTTATATAGGCCTCAGTTTCTCAGAAAAGCACCTTTGGTCTTTGTCACATCCAAAGATAAGAGCTGAGACCTTTTGGGGAAACAATGCACATCCAGTAACAGAAAAGTTCTGGGAATATAGCAAATGATGCCACAGGTGACGTCAACAGAGCTCTCTGCAATCTAATCACCTGTGACCTTTTATTTGGCCTTTCTGCCCTCACTATTGTTTTTGTGCTTTGTGTGACACACAACAATATCTCAGTCATGGCATCTTCTCAACAAGAAATTGAATAGAGATCACTTTCTCATCAATTTAGGTTGCTCAACATCTCTGGTAAATCTTGTTTGGTCTGTCTGTTATGCACAGACATGAATGCTCATACACGCATTCTACATTGTTGCATGGTCTAAAGAATTACAATCCTATCCTGAAACTTTAATTAAAGTGTAGTAAACAATATGATACAAACTTACTTTTAATATATTATGTACAAATATTTGGGAGTGCATTCCCGCCCTTGAAGTGTGAAATTATGCAACATAGTAATGTTTTTGTTCGCTGCCCATTTCCGAAAATTCGTCTACTAGCAAACAGCTCTGAATTTTGCCAAATTGTGATCAATTCGCGTTTGGCAGTGTGTTCACTGCATGCGCCAAATATATGCATCTGACAAGAGTAATTCCATGGCTAAGTCATGTAGTGTTAATGAGTGAAATGCTTTCATTGTCTCTCATGCTCTGAGCTGTTCATATTCACACTTTTAGAGCAAGTCGACAATATCCCTTAGCCTTGCGCCTGGTCACCATGGTAACAAAAGCCATTCTAATGTTGTCTTACCTCACAATGATGGCAGAGTGAGCTGTGGCTCATTTAAGAAAACCAAATAATTTCAACTGGGGTATTAAAATGGATGCTAAGTGTGATATTAATCTTCGTCCTTTGTTTATCTTGATGAATGCATGTTGTAGAACTTTTATTTGTGGAAACTGTTTTAAATTTTGGAGAAAAAAATGGGTTCGCTTCATGGGCAAAATGAGCAGAGGCTACACCACAGGATGCAAATCACTCGGATGTATGGATGGGTGGATTGATGGATGACATCTAACGTCTGTGGTCATGAAGTCCTTTGAACGTCTCATACTGGACTGGCAATGAGTATCACAGGACCCCTGCTGAACTCTCTGCTGTTTGTGTTCCAAGCAAACAGGTGGGTGGATGATGTAGTCAACACAAAGTTGCATTTTACCCTTGATCACCTCAATGATGCAGGGACCGACAGGAGGATCGTTTGGACTTTAGCTCTGCATTCAGGAGCATCATTCCTGACCTCCGTTCCTCTGAGCTCCTCCAGCTCAGCGTCTCTCTTGCTATCCTCAGGAGGATTTACAGCTTCCTAACAAGCAAGGACACAGCGAGTGAGGCTGGGGAAAACTATTTCATCCACATGCACCATCATTACCGGGGCCCCCAAAGGAAGTGTCCTTTCTCTGCTCCTCTTTTCTCTTTTCGCCAATGGCTGTGCCTCAATGTGCAGCTGTCAAATTCCTGAAGTTTCCAGACAGCAGCACAGCCATCGACGTCATCAACAATGGCAACGAGTCTGCATAGTAGCGCTTCAATGTGGCCAACACAATCTGGAGGCGAACACGCTCAAGCCTGTAGAGGTGATCTTGGACTTTAGAAAACATTCTTTGCCACAGATGCCCCCATGCTGTCCAATTGCCCCGTGTCAACCATTGAGAATTTAAGTTCCTAGGAATGTCAGTCTCTCAGTACCTGAAGTGGAAGGCTAACTCCATCCTCAAAAAGGCTCAAACGAGGACATCCTTCCTGTAGCTGTTGAGGAAGCATGGTCTGAAACAATTCAATAGATAGATAGATAGATAGATAGATAGATAGATAGATAGATAGATAGATAGATAGATAGATAGATAGATAGATAGATAGATAGATAGATAGTCATAAAAGATAATTGGATGGTTTTAGTTTGCCCAAGTCAAGCATTGAAAACAACATTACAAAACAAACCTGCAAAGGGTTGGTGTTGCCAATGCATCAGGGATTTGATGCAGCTAAGTATAAGGAGGTCTTATCAAGATTTCTATACTCAATTTTTTCACGTTTACCCATTTCAGTATTTATGTTTACCTAGAATTCGAATTGTTTTGTTGTAAAATAATGCTGTCTTCTAAGATGTGCATCAAATACAAGACACTGCAATACATGGAAATTAAAGATTGTCTGTTAATCCCTTGGCTCATATTCATCATTTGATTTCAAACCTAAAAGTCTCCAGCAAAATTTAAGGAATATGCCTCATAATTACAATATTTTTGGAGGGAAGTGTATAAAAATTTCACACGGGCACCAGGAGAACCTGCAAACTCCACGCAGTATGGCCTGAGCTGAATTTAAAATCTGATCCTTGAGTGTGTGGGAGATGCGCTAACAATATGCACCACTATGCTGTATTAAAATGTTACATTGTTTTAAAAACTATCTTAACCTACTAAAATAGCAGAACAATAAATAGGAGTCAATAAGTACACGCTGTTTGTTGTTTTGCTGAGAATGACACTTTTTTAGGTGTTATTCGAATTTGTTAAAACTATGTCAGTGAAATTAATCGAATTTTTATTCGTGATGTTGAAATAAGTATTTCTTTTCAGTTGGCATAAGAAAGTGAAGACACAATAATGATCCCGATGAGTTAGACTTTCATTCCACCTCCGAGGGAATCTCGACGCCAACATGCGAGTCTTCACAGAAACTCAGTTTTAGTCTCAGTAGTCATGAGACGCTTGGCCCCGGTGAGAGTGACAGACAGTGGCGATTGTCCATTAAGAGACGAGTATTGTTCGTGACGTGTGGACTACATCCCAAGTGGTCCAATCAACATATAGTAGGGAGCGGGGTTTAGGCAAGAGGCTAGCAACAGTTGCCCCGGTGAAGGCAAGGCGCCATAGTCACGGTAGTCCTGGCGACAAGAACCAAGCAACGGGAGTCAACAACAACCCGAATGTAAGGGGAAAACTTAGCACTAAAAAGGATAATACCGGGGGAAAACAGAGGTGAACTCCTCAAAATGAGCTTGTTTTATTATTTCGTGCTCCCTAAAGTTGCATGGCTGTTTTTGTTTGTGTATTCATTTGTGTTTGCTGAAAGTGCTCGAGCATGTCGGTGATGAAATTGGTTGCTAGCTTTTTTACGTGCGCAGGCGGTTGTTATGGCGATGTCAGATCTCTGATCGGAACACAAGATGGCGGGTGCGTTTTAACGCTTGTGACTACCCTACTTTCACCCCGACTATTGTATTCACTTTTCGTGGAGTGTCACGTTTAACTTCGAACACAATTGGCTTCTAGTCGTCTTCGTGTCCTGGTCGAAGAATTACAGGCACGCTGGCGTTGGTTTCTAGTCGACAGCTTCGGCAGCTCAAGCGCACATGAAGCTTACTATCTGACACGAGCTGCTAGCTGGGCAAGCTATTACTCTCGCTAACTCAACATACCTTCAAGCAAGCAGAGCTATGTTACAACCCCACACATATTATCCACTTTTTTGAATCGCATCCCCGCTCTAAACGTGCGTATTTGGGAGATATGTCCTAGATACTCATTCAAACCACTTAGGAAAAGTTTTTGTTGCGACACTTTCACTCCCGTGACTCGACGTGGTGGGGGATCATCTACGCGTCGTGTTTACCGTGTGGGTGCACACCGGAGTGCTTGATAATAAGTTGTGTTGGTGTAAAGTCCTGAATGGATGGGTCCACTAATTGTGCATGTGAATCTAGTCTTAGCTACAGAGGTGATAATGTTACAATAGATATTAATTTGGCTATCAAAAACTGGAATTAGTAGTTAGTGAATGTTACAGTTCGCATGAATAGCCATTGCTAACATTATTACAATTGAAAATGAATTGTTGCCTGTTGGTTGCTTGATTTTTATACATTTGCGGTGGACTGTAGCTCTAAAAGTTCAATAATATTGCTCGGCGTTAGAGATAAAACCTTACTTCCTCTACTGACACACTCGCGCGCACGCACGCAGACTATGGCAATAACACAAGTGGATATGACGTCAAAGACATGTTTATAGGATATTCGCTATTGAGATCCGTCTCCCTCTCTCAATCAACAGAAGTAGCGCCTGAAAGCATTGGTTGCCATGGCAACTTCTGGATACTCGGAAGACCTCCAGCCTCAGCAGACCAACACGGCAACCATAGCAACGCCGGCTTCCACCACACCCTCTTCCACCAAGACAGGAGCACACTTCCTGGCCGGACTACCACTCACCTCTGGGAGCATTGCATCAGCCAACCAATCAGCCAAAAGTGGACAGGATGCACTTTCTTCCCAAGCCCCACCTACCCAGACTCAGAGCCAGAAGGCAGCTGTTCTAGCAGCTTCCACACAGCACTACATAAGCCCTGAAATCCAGCACACAGTGGCCCAGAAGAATGGTCAGAGCACCTCACCCCAGTACATCATAGTGACGGTTACAGGTAAGCGACATGTGTCAAACTATCGAATACTTAACACACATATTCATTGTGTAGCTCGCACAATCATTATGAGTACTCTTTAGGTCTTAGTTGTTGACCAGAATGCACTGTTTTAAAGAAATGCATTGGTCTACACCACCTTTTTCAAACAGAGCTATTTTTGGTGGACTGAATCATAACGAGGGCTATCAGTTTGATATGCACACGTTTGAGAAAAAAACCCACTTTGCTTAAATTAACTTATTGTTCTTATAAATTAATGATACAATCTTCATCTTTGGAAAGACACTGATCCTGTCAATGATTCTCACAATAACGCTCAACAATCATTTAAGATAAGATAAGATAAGATATCATTTATTTGTCCCATACTGGGGAAATTCAGATTCAGATTCAGATTTACAGTCTACAGCAGCAAGATTGTGGGTAGAAAGAAGAAAGAAGAAAAACAAAGTGTTTGCATTCACAAAATAAATGTTACAGTTTCAATGTACCCCGTTCAAGGTCAGAAACAGGGAAATGTCATTATTCAACACTATATTTCTATAAATCTTTTTCAGTGGTCTCTTCCTCAACTTTCCGAGAACATCACAATGTCTCATCATTGGTTAGCTAATTTTAGATCAGACTTGCAGGCTACTCATGTGGTCCTTGGGGGGTGACCTGGAGACCCCTGCTCTTTACAAAGTGCTTAGGACCAAAATTTGTGGCAAGTTATGTCGCAAAAACAATTCACTGGAATAATAATGAAAGAGAACTCTTTTATTGTGGGTAAAATACAATTCTCATCTCCTATGTAGATCCTGCTCTGTCTTTCCTAAAGATGATGTGTTGTTATTTTTATACAGCGTTTAGTGTCACCACGGTTTCAGCCAATTTTAATGATGCCAGTAGTTACTTTTAAATTCATAGCAAATCAGTCAGTGCTGTAAATAAGGATAATGCGATACGACAATTGCAAGCACAGAAATGCAGGAACCACCAAAGCAAAAGGGTTAACTAATTATTTTCCTGCCATTATCTAACCATTTTAATTTGTGGTCATGGTGTTTCGTCAGCTCTGCGTTTAGGAATTATTACCATCGTCAGCACACTAAGTAATATTTTGTGTGTGTGTTGTTTGGGTGGGTGTGTGTGTGTGTGTGTGTGTGTGTGTGTGTGTGTGTGTGTGTGTGTGTGTGTGTGTGTGTGTGTGGAGGAGCAGACCACAATAATGTGATGCATGTGGTTGCTAGGTTACATTGTACTCAATGTGAGGGGTGGAATGCAGCTTCTTTTTGAGTTTGCTGGAGAGTTAGTGTGATCATAATGTAGCTAATGAAATAGCAGCCGTTCCCAATTACTAACAAGGAAATGTGCAACCATGGCAACATAAGTTGGCTATTAATGTTGCAAATAAGTGTTTTTCTGGCTGTGAGTTCTGAATTAATGTAAACTGTTCCCCTTTCAGTGAAAAGTATGATGTTTTATATATAGTAATGGTAAATGTCAAACAAAATATTTGGCATTTTGAAAATCTGCTCTTAACCAGAAGAGAATGAAAGAGGCCTTAGGAAAGTCTTTTTCTGGATATTTATTTTCGGTCTGTGTGTTCGTGGATATTTTTGCCTGCTAGTGTCAAGTAACACAGTATACTCTCAACCACAAAGTCACACGTTAGGGCAGGTGGGCGGGGGGGGTTGTGTGCGAAGGCCTATTCAATCATCTTGATAACCACTAGAACTTATTAGACACAGTATCTATCATTTGCGGGAGAATGAATCATTTTCACCACAATGCTTCCATCAATCTGTTTGTGATGAAAGGCTGCTTTACATTTGGCTGTAGTATAAACATACGTAGCCTGTCTTAAAAAGACTGAATAAAACAAGGGAGTGTTCATGAGTACATTTTGGAATGTCCTATCTGACGGTAAGGTGAGTACGTGTGTTGTGCAAATTTTTGTCGTTGGACAATAATCAAGCGGGGACGTCAAGGTGGCCCATTCACAGTCCCTCCTAGCATTTCATAGTTCATGATCTGTCTACAGCTGTGCTTTCATTTCAGATGTATTGACAAGTTAGAAGCAGGAGAACATCTATCACATCTATCAGCCACTCACTGAGAAGAGTAGTAGCAGAGAGAGACAGAGAGAGAGGGAGAGAGTCCATTTGGTTGGTACAATCACTGCCCTCACAGGAAAGTTATAAAGGTTTGTTCCACAAGTCACAAGATGCAGCTCAGCTCAGCGAGGTGTCTCGGCGGGACATCTAGGTCGTAACATTGACAACTTTGTTTATCAGCGATTTGTATTTTACATTCAAAATGAGTCAGCGGTTGCTTTGTCAACTTGGAGAAGTACAAGCGTCACGTTGCAGTAAGCCAAATTGAGAAATCCATTTGTCAAAAAGGAAGTGCCTAAGCCTTCCCTGCACATGTTGTCCATCATCTTGTAGCCAACATCCCTCGTATGTCTCGTTTTCCCTCTCGCATTTGATATGCATGTTTACAAGATGGAGGGATTTCTCTCCATCTGGGGAGATTAGCTGTCCGAGGCTGTCGTCCCCTCCACAAGATTTAAAGCAGAGACGAGTGCATTTGTGTCACTTTCTCCCCCGCTGAACCAAAAAACACACATGGGATGTTCTACAGTGGCTTTCAGTACAATTTGCAAGACGCATGTCGTGAGTTGTCACATTGTGCGTGCATGACTTTTTTTGCTGCTCTGTCAAGTCTCTCTTTCTCACTCTACTTGTTTGGTGCCCCAGAGGGTTCTGCTCACTCCAATGACAGTTTGTCAGAATCAAGCTCACCAGCCCCAGGTGTGCCTACTCAGGTGGTCCAGCCAGTGCAGACCACCACTCAGGTAAGACATCGTTCTCTACTCGAAGGGGTTCACGATCGCCACGCTAGTTTCATGCTGACGTCGTGACTGTTTTCACCAGCAGAGGTCAGTGTTGCAGACGGTGCTGCAGGCCGGTAAGAGGATTCAGTCAGGACACGTCAACAACCTGCAATCGGCACACATCAACCAAGAGGTAAAGACAAACATCGAACAAGAATTATTCCATCGCCATTATAATTATCTTATGTAGCGAAACATTTGCAGTAGAACCACCAACGTTGAACATCTGTTCTTTGATGCTGGTTGCTATATTCAAAACAGTTTTCCTTAGGAAGGCATCTAAATTCTCTTAATTTCTTCCAGGCTTATTTGTCACAGTACTTTGGAGGTTGCACTGTATATTTATTCTGCTGGACCTTACTCACAAAGGTGTTGCAGTGTTGCTAGTAACTAAAATGAAAGGAAAGTAACCATACTCGGTTTTAAGTCTTTTGCTAATGGAGCTAGATAAACAAGAACTGAGTGATAATCAGGAGTTGGACAAGCAAACGTCCAACTGCTAGCCCCCAAGGTGCCTTGAAATGTTTATGAACACCACTCCACCCCCAGTAGAGAACGTCAGGATGTGCGTTAGTAACCGGCCTGTTACTGTTGTTTCGATAGTTTCCTGTTTATGCCATGTGAAAGCAATTGCAAAGCTTTGGGACGTTTGATAATACATAATCGAGGAGACGGATTGTAATAATTAACTGCCGCCTCGATTAAAAAAAAGAATTTGGCTTTCTAATAAAGTATGAAATGAAAATAAACATTTCCACTTAGTTATTAGCAGCGGGTCACCTCTCTGAGTGGTTGTTCACCTACATGCTACATACAAAACTATTCATCATTGGTATCACATAATTACAATAACAACCGAATTAACCCCAGCTCGTTTACCTGCTGTAATAAATATTGAAGAATTCAATAAAATAACCTGATTGTTTCAAGCTGAGTGTATTCAACAAATGTTTTTTAAAACCTTTTTGTCCATCCATATTGTGATTTGTTGCTCTACTTTATTAAGATATTTCACGCCACACTTCATGAATTTGTCTCATGCTGGAAATCCAGCAAGTCCGCAGAAACAGTGTAATGCATCATCAGCTATGTAGCTTTTCTATTGACAATTGATTGTTCACTGCTTTTTCAGATGCAGTGTGGGCAACATCGAATGCATTATATACATCATTACACATACAAACAGCACTACACACTGACGCACTCACAATATTGTATAGGGCACTATAGTAGAGGGGAGAGGCACTGATCGCAGTGTCCTAATTGATGCCGAGTTTGTGTTGTTGTGAAATTTGCAGGTCAGGTCAAAATTAGCAGGTCAGGTCACTTCTCCTCTTCCCTTGTTTTGTTTCAAGGTGGAGCAGGTGTACTCCAGCCAGGTGCAGTACGTGGAAAGTGGAGGCGCCGACAATGCTTTCAACACATCAGCAATGTGAGAGACAAGGACGTTTCCATGTTTGCATGTTTCATCTTTCAGAGCCTTCCAGTAACAAATCTTTGCGTCTCCCTCCAGCCGGCCGAGCAGCTACTCTTTCTCCGACTCACCCCTCTACTCTCAAACCCCTCCCGCCTCCTCCTCCTCCAACTTCTACGAGGCCACATCTAGCTCGGAGTCCGACATCAGCGGCTCCGTCACCTCGCAGCCTCTCTCCTCGTCTGTGGGAGCAGCAGCTGCCACAAGTGGGGGCACCTCCGCGAGTGGGGGCGGTTATGTCATTCAGGGGGCTTATTTGTTAGGAGGGGGGGCGGGAACAACAGGAGGAGGAGGAGGTCAGAGCTACTCCAGCCCAAATTCACGTGCCCCTCCGGCCACTGTGAGTACTCCAGCTTAATGTGATTTAGCGGTCAGATAATTAATTTTTCCCTGCACAATTTGGCACACAATACCCCACATTTCTTAGATTGTATTTTAAATACATTTGTCATGTTGTCCAAATGGGGTGTTGCGTGTGGAGCTCTGAGGAAAAAGGAAATCCATTCATTTGATTTGAAAATGATCCCATAATATAACAAAATGTGGAAAAAAATGTGATTGCTTTCTGGATGCGCGGGATATCCGTGGCTATGGCGGAACGTGACCGTGGTAGCTGTGCTCTTCAGGTGCAGTGGCTGTGTGACAACTACGAAGGTGCAGAGGGGGTGAGTTTGCCTCGCTGCACCCTGTATTACCACTACCTGCTACACTGCCAGGAGCAAAAGCTGGAACCGGTCAATGCCGCCTCCTTTGGCAAACTCATCAGGTCTGTCTTCATGGGCCTTCGCACTCGAAGGCTTGGGACTCGGTATGTGCACAATGCTCAAGGTTGTAATCGTCTTGCGCACCACCCCGTCGTAAGCTTTGACACACGTGTTTCAGGGGGAACTCAAAGTACCACTACTATGGACTCAGGATCAAATCTGGCTCCCCTCTGCTTAGACTGATGGATGAACAGCAGCACATGGCAATGCGGCAGCAGCCATTTTCACAGAAAAACAGGTATCCTTGTAGGCTTTTATACAAAGAGGCACGCCAGTAACTGACTGACCCTTGTCATTGTTCTGACCTGGGTGTGTTCTGTCCAAAAGGATAAAGGCAGTTCAGAAAACAGAGGGGATCACCAATGGGACATCAGGGGGGGCATCACAGCAGCAGGCAGGAGTGGTTTGTGATATTTCGGCTCAGGTGCAGCACTATCAGCAGTTCCTGGGTGAGGAACTGGCACATAGAATTGAATGTGTATGAGGGATGCCCCGATCACGCTTTGTCATCCGAATCTGAGTCTTTGGTTTGAAGTATCTGCTGATACCGAGTCCTGATCCGATACTTTTAGGCAATGTATTGAGGACAAAAAAAAGAGCGTGTATCAGCGATTATTAATTTATATGGTATTATTTCGACTATTCCACTAGATCAGTGCCAATAGCATCAAAATAAACTCAAAGTTCTCTATTTTTTTAAATTTTTTTTTTTGTTGTTCGGAAAATGAATAAAACCGATCTGTTTCAGCCGATACTGCATCAGTTGAAAATACGTGATCGGCCATGATTTCCGATCACATGATTGGATCGGGGACATCCCTAATGTGTTCAATGGTGTTTTGCATATGATTGTATTTCCGCCCACACCCCAAAATAAAATTTAAATGAAGAGAATATACTGTACAGTGGTGACTACAGTGTGTCCTCCATCTTGTGTAGAAGCATCACGTCCGTTGCCTGATTTTGTTGACATGAATGTGCAAGCGCGCAACCTACCTGATGGGATCCTGCCTGAACACCTCAAGGCCTTTCAGACACTCTACAGGGAACACTGTGAGGTAGGCAATTGACAAGCCAACATATCTTGTTTTTGTCTTTGTCACTTAATATCAAACATGAGCGTTCAGGCTTTATTTGAAATGTATCTATTTTGATATTGCTGTACATCCGTTGATACAGAAGAAGGAAGGCGGTTGTGAATTGCACTCATGTATATATACATATATAAAGTTACTGACCTGTTTTTCTTTTTTTAATCTTGAACTTAAAACATACATTAAAAAATGTAAACTAATAAACTTGCTCCAAAAACGAAGTTAAAACTAGCGGAATTAAATTAAAAACAAACTATCATGAAATCTCCTAGATTCTTCGATAGTTCCTGAAGACAGGGCATGATGTTAAACTCTTCGCAACCCCTGCGCTTTCCCTACTCAGGTTGCCATCTTGCTACATGTTAGCATAAGAACTGCAAGCACATTAGCATTTCATCAGTGCTCATTTAAAGTAATACCTGAATACAAGATATGCTGTTAAATAAAATCCTCACCAACTCACCTAGGTCGCTCTATCCTGCTATATGTTAGCGTGGCATGTTAGTAATTTGGCAATTCTCGTAGCCTATCTCAACATGTCTAACTTTTCCAAGGATCGCAAGGCTCACATTCGACAGTTCACTTCAGTTTTCAGCGTTTCAGTTTAGCGTCAGCTTCAAATGCAGATTTGACAGCAAGATCTGCTGACCTCTTCTATCCTTTTTTTTTTTTCCATTCCTTGCCAATAGGCCGTTCTAGATGTAATGGTGAACCTCCAGTTCACTCTTGTGGAGACACTTTGGAAGTCCTTCTGGAGGTTCAGCCAAGGCAGTGACCCCGAAACACTCAACCTGTGAGTATCAAAAGCTAAATACCTTGACCCGCCACCACCTCCACTATAACAATCACAAATTTTGCCCTTCCAGTCACCACGAGTCGGAGAAACGTCTGCCAAAATCGTGCCTTGTGCTGCTGTGTAAGTTTGAGCCCGTACTACACTGGACGAGAGCGTGTGACAACCTGCTCTATCAGACGCTGGTGGAAATCCTCATCCCCGATGTGCTCCGACCCATCCCCAGTAAGGATTCAGGAGATGAAAAAGGTGCACAAAGTAAGTCCGATTTGGTGAATTTTAACACCTTTGTTTGCTCCGCAGGTGCCTTAACTCAGGCCATCCGTAATTTTGCGAAGAGTCTGGAGAGCTGGCTATCCGGCGCCATGATGAACATCCCAGAAGAGATGGTCCGCATTAAGGTTTGTGTGCAATGACATACTTTCCACTGATAGCCAAAGTACTTGCACTCTGTACTTAAATAGCCTCACTTTTTTATTAGCTTACATAATACTCGCACTGAGCACAAGAAAATAAATGATGTTGTCACATGTAATTATTAAAGAAAAAACGTAATAATAAATAATGCACCTTTAAAAAAAAAACACCCTCAAATAGCTGTTTTCTTCTCTTGTGTTTAACAAGGTCCCCCGTTTTGCTGGTATCTTGTACTATCAGAGTAAATAATGTGAATGAATAAAAAAAATTCAAAACATACCAATAGTGTGAATGCTTTTAAATTTAGGTTAAAAACGATTCTCCCTTCCTATACTTATGATTTAAGTCTTTCAGAGTAGTTTTAAAATAATGTTTTTGAAAATGTTGTTCCTGCACGATACGCTGTTTTTCTCCTTTTACCATTTTTTAAAAAAACAACTCTTTATATTGGTAAGCATCGAAACAATGTGAAGAATTTTCATTTCTTATCACCCCCCTGCATAATAACCCCTCTCAATTGGGGATCTTTTTTTTTTTGAGGCGGTGTGGCAAAAAATGAGTATTATTCATAGGATTTTATAGTAAGTTGCATTGCCCTGACTAATATGCTGTCAAAACAACGTGTTTCCATAATTTTGCCAGTACTGTGAACTTCACGCAAACGGCAACTCTTTGAATGATTCTTGAAGCTGACAAAAGTATTAAATTAAATAAGGTCATGGTTGGTAAATATTTTGCCTCAGCCAATCTCTTATCGTCATTGCTCTCGATTCATGTTGCTCCATGTCTTATTCCTCAATTAAGATCACAACCGGAGTTGATTTTCTATTCTCTTTCTATTTTATGTGATGTCATCATCGAAGCAAGTTCAAAAAAGTCAGGAGTAAAATTTAGAGCAGTTGATTACAGATGTCTGAAAATGTACCATTTTGTGTTGCGCATACCGCGTCACCCCCTTAGGTGGTGTGCGTGGGCTCTTTCTCCCAAACGCTGCGTCGCTATACCAGCTTGAACCACCTGGCACAGGCAGCCCGCGCCGTCCTCCAGAACTCGGCTCAGATCAACCAGATGCTCTCTGACCTCAACCGTGTGGATTTCACCAATGTTCAGGTCCGCTGAGCGGCAAGCCGCTCGGAAGAACACAAGCTAAGCGTCACGTCACGGAACCTAATCGGCCTGTCTCCCCCTGCCTCGCCCCTAACAGGAACAAGCGTCGTGGGTGTGTCAGTGTGAGGACCGCATCGTCCAGCGGCTTGAGCAAGACTTTAAAATGACCCTGCAGCAGCAGAACTCCTTGGAGCAGTGGGCCTCCTGGCTGGATGGCGTCGTCTCTCAGGTGCTCAAACCTTATGAGGCCAACCCCGTTGCTCTGCCCAAGGCCGCCAAGGTCTTTCTGCTCAACTGGTCCTTCTACAGGTGAGAGGTTGCTGGCCAGACATTATTTGTCTTGCAGTGTGTTAAAAGTCTAAACACGTCTTGGGACCCACTAGTTCGATGGTCATTCGAGACCTGACCCTGCGCAGCGCAGCCAGCTTCGGATCCTTTCACCTCATCCGCTTGCTGTACGACGAGTACATGTACTACCTGATCGAGCACAGAGTGGCTCAGGCCAAAGGAGAGACTCCAGTTGCCGTCATGGGAGAAGTGAGTGTCTGAAAATGGGGAAATAACATTCAACACTCACAAAAAGTTGGGGATATTCTGCTTTCAAGGTTTGCTCAAACTTGTCTGATTTGAAGCGTTCCTCTTCTGTGTTGTAGTTTGCCAGCACAGTCAAGAGCCGATCCACTCCGGACCTGGAAAAAGGTAACATCAGCACACTTGGTGCTACTGGCCATAACGTCTTCTTTTAGCAGTCCTCTTGACGCCTCGCCGTCTCTTCTCCATCAGATGAGGAAGATGAGGACGAAGATGAGGAGAGCGAGGAGGAGAGCGCAGATCTGGTCTTGCAGTCCAGCTCTCTGAGCATGCTGGAAGACAAGGAGCTGTTGGAGCCGCCCACCAAGCAGCCCAGGACCGATTTAAGCCTGCACACTCTGACAGACACACACAACACACCGTCTTAGAGGAAAACACACACACACACACACACACACACACACACACACATACACACACACACACACATGCCCACACTTTGCTTTGACGCCATCAATTCATCCCATCCCTTACCCACTGTCATGTGCACTGCTCTGAATTGCTCCAAGATACTTTGGTGTTGAGTGTGTTTGTCCAGTGTGAGCATTTATAAGAAAACGGGAGCGCCATTTATGCCAATGATGTAGTCTTTGCTCTCTGTGTTGGCATTTTGTTTCTATTTTGTCATGTATTCATGGATGATCCCCGTGCCTTCCCGGAACAGTCAGTGTCCAGCCCTGCACAAACGCCACATATTTACCTGATAGACTACACACTCAAGACATTTCCACGAGTCTCCCTTGCCCTGCCTTAAGCGCTAACCAGATGATGTGGAAAAATTGTCCTTGTGATGTCTAAAATCACTTGCATTGCCTTTTAAGCAATGTCTATGCAGGGTTTTTTTTTTTGATCAAGATGATTGGATTGTGTGAGGTCACTAATGGCAACTGGTTATGGATGCCATATTTGATTTACTTTCCGTACGTCCTTTTTCATTTGGCCAACTGAAACTGATACGCTGTGCCTTTGAGAGATTGCTAGCCTAACTGAGCTTGTATTCTATATCGTGTGTATTGTTGCATTTATATGGGGGTTCCGTAGCCTTGTTTTCATCACCTTTGGTAGCTATTAAAAATTATGTGAGCCATGTGATGGGGCTGCCAACTTTGCTGTTTGTAGTCTCTCCTTTGCCTATCCTTCCCTATTCATGTCCTTCACCAGATCACATACCAAGTAGTCACTTTTTCATGCAAACAAAGACAAACCATCACCCATGATAAAAGGCAACTTGAATAAGATTGATTCATAAGCACATGCGCCCTTGTACCCACGGTTACCAGTGTATTAACTTGATCAACCGGTTTAATCTGTACAGTGTTTTGTAGTGTTAAAAGTTTATTTTTCATCCTCGTGTCATATATTCAAATTGTATAGTGTTTGACCATAAAATGCCTTGGGATACATGTGGTATGCCTACAAAGTACTAAGCCAATTTTCATGTAATGATGGACCAGGCCTGGAGATGTGCAGAACTTTAAAACTGACCCTTTACAAAGAGCACATTGTACAAGTTAGCTCAATCAGGATTGGTTATTTTATCAGGATTTCATGATCAATTATTTTCCGAGATCGTTTTGTAAAACAGTTGGCGCGTTTGTTGTGCAGGCAGAAAGCCACAGCAAAAAAAAAAAAAAAGTTAAAAATGAGATAGTTGTGTTATTGTTCATGTACTGTAATGTGGATTCTACCTTTAAAGCTTATGCTGCTGTACCTTTCAACAAGAGGTTCTCTTGATAGCCCTCTTTAAGAACATTGTACAATCTGTGATCTTTGTAGCTTTATTGTCATTGACTACGAGGTTGTGATTGCGTTCAAATGTGTGCATATTTTGTTTACAGCAAGAGACTCCCAACCAGTGTGCCGTGGAACACTGGTGCGCGAAAGAGATCAGCAGGCTTGATGCGTGAAGTTCCCTTATTTCACCTAATTTGTCTGAAATTTATGACAAATATCTCATCATTCTACTATCTGTGCCAGTGACAGAAGCAGAGAACTTAAATGCTCTTCCATTAGATGGTAGGACTAAGTTACGGCTTTCTGCAAGTATGATTTAGCTTGGTGTTTATCAGGCCCAGACTTCACACACTGAGTAAGTCAATTCGAGAGTAAATTTAGACAAGATCATTTTCAGTATTCATATTTTTGTTCGGTGGTGTGCCATGAGATTTTTCCAATGTAAAATGGGTGCCTTGGCTTAATAAAGTTTGGAAACCCCTCATTTCTGCATTCTAAGACACATTTTGTACTTGTGTGAACATTACTAAAATTGAAAAAAAAAAAAAACACCAAATACTAATCGACTCATGTCCACAAGAAAAAATGTTTTAATAGTTCATTTTCACAAAATCATCTTCATCGCTTGTGAGGAACATAAAACATGACATTAATCAGTTAAACATGTATGGGACTTGAAAATGCCCAACAGCCGTTAAACACATTTTTTTTTTTTTTATAAACCTCACCCAAGGATATTTAGAGTTACATAGGATTGCTTTGTTCCATGTTATGAGGAAAAATGGCAGCCTCGTGAGTCTACAGAATGGGGCCAGGCTGGTTTCAGCCACAGGAGGGAACAAGTTATTCACAAGCAGCAATAATCAGTCCCATTGTAGACACAAATGCATCTATGACACAGATGCAAGTTGACATACATTCAGTACTCTCTCCTGCAGACACAAACACTTCAGGTATTCTTTTACACTGTGTAAGAAAAGAACTCTACGCAAACAGTTGTCAGAATCTTCATCCAGTCCAGCGCTTTCTTTTTGTACTTACAAATTAAACAACGTTAAGTAAATACAAATGTGTAATTGGAAAAAAAAAATATGTACAGATATGACAGCAAGTACAGTTTTTTATGTGTACATGTTATCACAGTGCAGTTCAGCCCCAATGCCGTTCTCCTTTTGATTTGTACCCATTGCGTTGTAACATCACAGAACAATCCAAGTGCATCTGTCGCTATCAGCCAACACCTGAAGAGATGATCCTACATGGGAGACAAGTAACCATTTAGTCAGCATTTCTTAAGCCTTTTTAATCAAACTCCAAGCACTTTTCGACCCTCAAAATCAAGAGTTTGAAGCTGCTTTGAGAATCCGTGCAATGATTGGACAAGATGAATGTATCTAAATAAGTCTGTCTTAAACACAAAACTGGCTTAAAAAGAAAAAAAACAACAATGCTATACAAAATCCAAAACAGATACAAGCCTCAGGCAAACTTAATACTGTAATGAAGTGTACCGTAAACCTGCAGGTCAAACTGACCTTTGTGTAGTCCTTCGTTGGTCATTCGATTGATGTAGCGCGCGCTGCTCTCAGGAATGAGCCACTTCATCAGCGTGTTCACACACGACTTCCTGTAAGAACTCCATACACGCCCGCTAACACGAAAGACAAATTGCACACTGTAAGTTACTGCATGGATATGTTATTACTAGCAGTGCAACAATTAATTGGATAATCAATAATTACTGTTTTACTAACCCACAATTAAATTGATAATCGAATAAATGTTACAGGATTACACCGATCAAAAAAAACAAACAAAAAAAACTCTCGAAAGAATAATATACAGTCAAACCTCGGTTTTCGAACGTCTCTGTTCTCAACCAATTCGGTTTTCGACCAAAAATTTCGAGTTTTTTTATGCCTCGGATGAACGGAACACATTTCGGTTCTCGAACGAACTGAGCGCACATGAATGCACCATTTGACTCCTCGCACCTTCCTTACATGAGGAAGTGACGCTTCCTCGTGTTGCTTTCCATTGTGAGCAGACGTGTTCAGTAAACATTTTTATTTTAAAAAGAGCGTGGTTTCGGTTTTCGAACAATTTCAGTTTTCGAACAGCCTTCTGGAACGGATTATGGACGAAAACTGAGGTTTGACTGTATAACCTGAGATGATTAGGAGTGCCAATTAAATTATTGCAATACAGCATTTTCTTTTTCATAATAGACCAGGAAACAAGTTCAAAATGAACACGAAGTAGCGTGTTACAGCACGGACACGTTACAGGGATGACGTAACCAGGTCAAAAATGTCCATTAGGGTAACATACAGGGTATGTCATTATTTTTGACACTTAATCGTCTGAAACCATTTTCGAGGAATCAGATGCCATTGATATTTGCTTTTGTAATGCTCATACACGCTGCCTAAAAGAAATAAGGAAAAGTCCTGTGTTTAAAACTGTCCAAATCCTCAAAATTTCAGTCTCATAACAGCAAATCTGCTCACATTTTGGTTTATTAATTCACCGCAACCTATTATTTAATGCAAAACTTTGGATTAATTTACAAATGTTTTATTTTGTCATACCTAAATTTTAATTCAGCAGTTTTAGGAGAAATAGAACTCCGTTAAAGCAACAAAGGTCACAGGACTCAATGTAAATGCTCAACGGGCCTGACACAGCCCGCGGGCCATACTTTGCTAAACACTGACTTCAACCTAACACCACCGACTCTGCAAAATGATGCGAGGCAAACGCACAGTAGATCATGTATCGCACAGGGTGTTTGCTTACCTGGTCTGACCCTTGACCTCTGTCAGGTCACCCACGCCCACAGTGGAACAGACACCCGTGTTCAGGTCCCAACTGACCTGCAGGTTTGAATGGTACGTGTTGGGCCTGGCGAGAGGAAAAGCGCACGCTTCAAGAAGGAATTCAAACTCTTTCCTGAAGAAGTCACAGAAGACGACAAACACCTGCAATGCTCTGAGGGGGAGAAGGCCAATAACAGCAGACCGATGCTAATCATCACAGTGTTGGTCTCCGGACACACCTGACACGCACATTGAAAAACCCATTAGTAGGCACACACTTCTATTCAAATCTACGCTGCAAATCATCACGTGTTTGCTTACCTCTAATATGACCACATCATAGTCGCTGAAAGAGCAGAACTGCGGCGCCCAGGCAGCGTCTTTCCTGATCACCTCATTAATTAGATACTCAAAGTCCAGCGTCAGCTGCTCGACACACACACTCTGGGAAAAAAAGCACACATGCACATAAATCAGTCACAAGTCTTTTGCGGTAACTGATTTGAAAACATGGTGAATTTTCACACAACTTTACTAACTTTGAAACAATTTTTGCAAAGTTTATGAAACGTGACCAGATAACCCGGGAGTGACGTCACATGTGCTCAATCTCTGGACAACACAGAACAATGAATCATGACAATGTCTGCGCAAATGCTCCTAGCGCTGATCCTGAAAGGACACGGCCGTACAGTTTCAAAGCCAACACGAGCAAATAACTGCTTCTGGCTCGTTAGAAAACCCACAGCGTTGGGATTTTTATATCCGCCGCATGACCTGCCCCATCTCAAACTGTATTCATGTTTTGTATATTCCTGGGCGTCAAGTGGTCACTTCACACACAGGTTTTGTCAAAAGTTCCTTTTCATGGCAAAGTATGCTAGTGTGCCTATCATGGGCTATTTTTCCTATCCAGAATGACATTCTTTGTGTGGTTCATTTTTTGTTCTGTTTCTGTTTCTCTTTGTTGTCAAATGTACATTGCCCATTAGTATAGCGGGCAAGGCAGATGTCACTTCCGTGATTATCCGCGAACATGTATGCACCCCCAGTCTGTCACTGACCTGTCCATCGTGTGGCTCACTGATCAACTGCAGACTCCGCCCTTTAAGATCGGTGACCGTGAACGGCAGCTGTACTTTATCATCTTCGTAACCTTGACGCAACAAAAAACAATGAGCAAATCTCAAAGGCAAAAGGTTGAAGGTGTCCAGCTTCACAAGACAACTAAAAACATTTTCTTGTAGACTCTAGTGTGCACTTTCTAGCAGCAAGTAACTTAAAAAGTCACTTGAAATGTGCCAAACTTGCTTGATTTTTTAAAAATAATGTTGTCTCTGAATCAAATGCAGGGACAATTATTTATGGGATACGTTGGATTAGTTTCGGGACAATAAGCGAAACTGTGCTTTGCTTGAGCCACATACCTAGTCTGTATAAAAACACAGTGCAAGCTTAGCTTCTGGCTAGCTGACGTCACGCTAGCATCATGCACTGAGGCGCGAAGTGAAGTGCATCTTTCTTCCAGCAACATTTAAAGAGCCTTTCATGGGTTCTTCTGATGCAGATGTTGAAAAATATTCGCTGCTGTGACTGATTTATCGTTTATGGGATGGGAGTGTATTTCTGATTAGAACATAGTTTTGTCCATGTGAGATATAAGCAGAGCAGGTTTTCTCTTCGAATTTGCTTGCGTATGAGTGTTTGTGTTGTCTCAAACGAAGGTGGCCAAAACATGCTTAATTCAAATTAAACCGCACTAATAAACTAACCACCAAACGGTGCTGGAACTGCACAAACAGAAAACAATGTGACCTTTTCAACAACTGTGCTGCTACTAGCGTGACACGACGACGACATTGTGACAATTGTAATATCGCAATATTGCCATTACAGCTACATCCGTAGTCATTAAACGTCTTCTCGTTTAGCCAAAACTATAGCGAGTCTTTGTTTCTTTATTGCACTGAAAGTAAATCAAAACGGGGTCTTGATGCCAAGGTTCGTACTGAAGCATCTACTCATGTGCTCCATTGTTCGATGATACATTTACAGTGTGAGGTTATAAACTCCCATGCCCCGCTCGGGGGAACCACAACGAACACACAATGTAGCCCGCCATTAAAACAAGGTTGAAAATTTAAGAGATACAATATAAGAACTGCCCATCCAAAAATCTGCCTTTATAAGGATAATTCAATTTGACTTTGATTGAGACATTAATTCAACAATAATCTCATTACTTTGGGGTTAATTTTCCCAAGTGTCAAAGCGTACTGTACGAAATGAAAAGCCCTTTGACTGGTAATGAAAAATTAAACAGGCAGAATGTTAAGACAAAACAACGCAGTTGCACTGTATCTAATTCAACTAATGTTGCGGGTGTGCGTATACTGTAAATTGCTCATTCACCTGTATCGCCTCCTGTATTCTGCTCCAGTAAGCCCGGACGGAAACAATAGTGCAGACATGAGTAGTTGACATATCCAGGCTCACTGGGGTCAACGTCCTGCGATGCAGATGGAGTAGGAGGGGATGAAGGCAATGATGAAGAGGACGCAGGAGACATTTGTTCTGATGACTGCATTAAACTCTGGCAGGACGTCAACATTTGTGGCGAACAAGTCCGTGTTTCTTTCTGCATCGCCTTTGGACAATCCTGCTCCTCCTGTTGAGCGTTAACCACCAACGGCTCTGAGGGTTTCTGTGATCCCTCTCTTTTACTTCCGCCGGCTCCACCTTGTGCCCGTCGGAAGAGGTCGGCTGCAAATTCTCTAGCTCGCATCGCTGCTTGCGATTGGCTAGAAGAAGTAGGTGTGGGGGTTAACCTGCTCTGTGTTGGCTCCTCATCAGGAGATCCCTCAGACAATGAGGAAGATGAAGTGGTGGGAGAGGGCGGTGGGGATGCCTGACGTGACAAAGCCGCTCTCTTTGTGTAAAGAATTTGGGACGATGGACCAGCCTTGCCTGAAACAAACAAAGAAAGCTGATGAATTAACTGCAATTGAAAATGTCCGTTAACAGCGGCGTAGCACCACAACAACATACTGGGCATACTTGTGTAGCATAACAGACTGATTTGAGCAATCTTGTCTTTTGAAAGTCATTTTACTGATAGTCCATTAATGGACATGGGAGGAAAATGCCATTTGTGATGGACAGAGTTAGTTGAGATTTATCAGCAAATTTAAATTACCTTGGCAGAGAGAGATGCCACAAGCCACCAGAGAGTAGCTCGTATTTAACAGGATGACCTGGTCCTTTTTCAGCTGGAAAGCAGGCTGAAAAGTGGGAAAGGGGTACACCACCTGATACTTGCTGTTGAGGACGTAGCCGTGCTCCAGACACTGACCGTTTCCTGCAGAGACCCGCATGACAATTACAGGAGACAAGCTAAGGAAGTGAGGTCAGCAGATGAGTGTATTTGTGTGTGTGTGTTTGCTGTTTATTACCATTGTGTATAGATGTGGTGGAGGGAAGTGTGCCGCACTCAGCGCAAGGCTGAGGTGGAGGCATCGAAACAATTGTGATGCAGATGTCTCGGTAGTTCTCAGCGCTCATCAAGTTCATCAGGAGAGAGCTGAAAAGTTGCGGCATGCAGGCAAACATTCAAACGGGGCTAATCACGTGATTTTCAACTGATCCGGTATAAGGAGAAAAGGATCAGTTTTATTCATTTTCTAAACAATGTGCAATTATCTTGCCAAATACAACACAATAGCTTAAATTTTCTATGACACAATGTTATGTTTCTGTGTTTTTATTTTTCATAGCGGTGTAGTTAGTGAACCTAACAGAGCTGCAAGCATGCATGTATATATAAATGTGGGTGTGTGTACACATATATCTATATTCATATAGTATACACACACTATGTAACATGAGAATTGATGTATCTCTCTCTCTCTCTCTGTGTATAAGATAAGATATCCACCTTTTTTAATGCATTGCAAGTATTACATCAGAACTATCGGCAGATATTCAAAACCCAAGACTCAGATTTGCGTGATCAGGACATCTCTATGTGTGGCTACTGAGTGACACAAATAAAATCTTACTTAAAACCGAAGATGACAATTTTAGACTGGTCATTTGGCCATTCGCACACAGTGAGGTAAAGGTCATTGTAGATTTCTTCGCCTGCAAACAGGCGCACATATTGGACCTAGAATGAAAACATATACAATAGACAAAAAGATGTGAGATGATTCACTTAATTCTCCTGCGACAGAATCATGATGAATTGAATTGTACACTACCATACAAATGTCTTGAGGCTACAATTAGCTTTGTTTGAATTATCTTTCTCAGAGCAGTCAATGTTAGGCAGGACTCATTACCGGTTTACCTGTTTACCATGGTTTTAAAAAGTCAAGCTGAAGCTGTCTGTCATCGGCAATGAACTCTTTCCGTTTTTGAGGGGACTTTTAAGCAGGGCATAAAAGGAGTGGCTACTTGCAGAATTGAGTAGCGACCCACCTCTTTGAAATTAATTCCCCCCCGATTAATTTTTCCTCCTTCTCTGTGAGTATTTTCGAACGGAGGTGGTGGGACGGAGGAAAATTAGACGAAAAAGACCCCGTTATAATTACATGTACACGGATTCATTTAGAGTTTTTAATTTAACCAAATATTTCAAAAAGAGGACATTTTAGAGCTGTGCTTTTAATACTGTGACACCACGATATTTTAGCTCACAGTTATCATACCGTCAGAATCTGTTATCGGCCCATGCCTCATCAATGTATGTACTGTCTTTCATATTTGCATTAACATTTAAGCCCAACGTAACATGAAATAAAAGACTAACATAAAGTTGAATAATGCTTTAGTTTTACCTGTTTGAGTCGACTGTGGAGATTAAACTCCCACCAATAGAGATGGTAAGTATAGAAATAGAACTCATCATCCTCTCCCCAGTCCCTGGTGTAGGACAGAACGTAGCGGCCACACTTCGTGAAGCCAAGAAAGATATGCCTGGAACCAAACAGGTAATGATTGCATCACCGCAACATCGACTTGTGTGAATCAACACTAGTTTGCTTACGTTAAATGTTAGTTGTCATTCTTAACACTTACCCCGCTCTCAGGTATTCCTCACTGACAATGTTCTTTAACGGGACACACACTCGAGGAGGGAGCTTCCTGAAAAGATGCTGAGAGAACTGCCCTGAAAGCTGCAGAATGGAACAATTAGAACTAAAAGACTTGTCCGCTAGCTTGTTTATTGATTGGGAAAAGGGTGATACGATGCAAAGCAATACATGACGGTTCATGAAAACCCTTGGTTGTTGTGGTATATTTACACACTGTTGAGATTTGAGCTGTCATCATAAGCAGTTAAAGCTCAAAAGATTTTTGTCGCTATATACTTGCTACATGAGTAATGACAAAGTCGCATCTAATGTAGTTTTACTTAAATGTTAAATTACAAACTCTTAAGTCAGTGACGTGCAGTGAGGTTCATGACTGGTGAGGCACTGACTCCTTGCATTTAACAATATGAAACCAAAAAGGAAGAGGGACACTGCCACACGCTGGCAGCAGCAAGATATTTGGACTCCACCTTGCACTTGAGTTGCGTTTCTGGCAGATCAGAAGGACTAAATATGTCACACACATTAAATATATGAGACATACTACTGAACGTGAGCATGTGCAGTACATGTGTGTCTGGCGATATAAAAACAAACAGGTATGTTTCTTGTATGAGGGCGCCCGCCAACTGCTTGTGTCAGCATTTAAAGTTTACGCAGTCTCTGGAGGCACTGAAAGTGACCTGCCTCGGTCCCCTGTTGTAGAAAATATGGAACTTAAGATATTTCATTAATTTTAATGATGGAATCATTGACACTGAATTGAAAACTTAAATCAATTTAAACACGACCCAGAAATCTGAAACATAATATAAATTGATGTAATCATTGTTGTTTTCTTTGTTTTGTTTATTTACTATTCCCATGTAGGGGAGTGGACGGAGAGGCTCTTCCTCCCGTGCTTGCCTGGACCGCACGTCTTACGTTAAGGTATATGCTATCTAGCAAAGGAGTCCCAAGTATGTGTAAACGTTTTGACCAACAAAACCACAATCTAAGCGGGACAGCGAAGTGCAACCCACAAGCGATGGTATGAAAAAGGTGCTGCAGCTTTCAACGATTCCCTTCCGTTAATTCGCGTGTTAGCCAACGAGCTAGGTCGCAGCTACAACTTGGCCTCGGACACTCATGAAAACAAGGAGGCTCGCATCATATTACTCCAAAACCATTGTTGCCGTACTCACAGGAAGGCGTATAGTAAATAACAAGCATACCTTCCCCCGCATAAGAAGTTTTACGACATGGTCTTTGTGTCTTCTTTGGGGTTTGCGTTTGATGTCCTTTTCGGATTTCGAGCTGGGCGCCATCTCTGACTGAACTGTTGTTCGTGTTGAGCTCCGGACGCCGCTGATTGGCCCGCTGATGTACGGATAGACCGACAAGGGCAATTTTTCGCCAACCCGAGCAGGAGTCGAATCTCATTTTTTAATTCGTAACATCCTCGATGGTCTGTTTAATTGCCACGTTAGATCCTCCCAACGGAGATCTCGATTATGCCGTGATGGAGTCGCGTGTAACAACAGAGAAGCGAGAAAGAACTGTCAGACCTGAGACGTTCGGTTAGCAATGACGTCATTTTGTGGAGCCGTCTATTAAATATGACGTCAGGTAATCGACGTGTGTCACAAATGAATCGCTGAACTGGGGAGTGTCACAAGGCAGTCACGTATACTTTTATGGCGTTTTGCCTCGTTTGTGCAGTTTCGTCACTTCTATCCCTTCACATTTCTAGTTTACAGTGACTACCAAGAGCTGGCAATCACTCTAAACTTTTATCCCAAACAAGGAAAGCACTTATCAGAGATGCGGCCCAGAGTTCCATGAGCACTCTGGATGAACTGCAGTGATCCACAGCTGTGGTGGAGAATATGTTCAAAGGACAATTATAAGTGGCACACTTCACAAATCTGGCCTTTAAGATATCCTTTATTTAAGATATCCTTTATTTGTCCCACACTGGGGAAATTTACAGTCCACAGCAGCAAGATAATGGGTAGAAAGAAGAAAAGAAAAACAAACACCGTTCAATTAAGTGCAATATAAATACAGATATGGAAAGGGTCGCAGTGCTATTTACAATTGTCTTCCACATCATTTTATTTTTTATTCAGCAACCTGACAGCAGTCAGTAGGAACAAGCGGCGGTATCTCTCCTTCTTGCAGCGCGGGTATAACAGTCTCTGGCTGAAGGAGCTACCTAGTGCTGTCAGGGCGGGCTGGAGGGGGTGGGAGGGACTGTCCATCATAGCTTTTAGCTTAGTTAGCATCCTCCTGTTGCCCACCTCCTCCAGAGTGTCTGGGGAGCAGCCCAGGACAGAACTGGCCTTCATGACCAGTCGCTCCAGTCTCTTTCTGTCCCGGGCCGAGATGCTGCCTGACCAGCAGACAATGCCATAATGGATGGCCGAGGCCACCACCGAATTATAGAAAGTCTTAAGGAGTGACCCCTGAACCCCAAAAGACCTCAGTTTCCTGAGTAGGAAGAGTCAGCTCTGTCCTTTCCTAATCAGGGTGTCCGTGTTTGTAGACCAGTCCAGTTAGTTTGTTGTTTAGAAGAACACCTAGGTACTTGTAGGAGGCCACCCTCTCTATGTCCATACCCTGGATGTTTATGGAAGAGTGGCAAAAACAAATTCATTTCTTAAAGACAACAATAAAAAGTAGTTTGCAAACCCAACTACTTTGGGAGACACAAGAAGGTGCGCTGCTCCCTCAGATGAGACCGAAATTGAACTTTTTGGGCCAAATACAAAAAGTGATGCTTGGAATAAAAATAACACTGCACATCACCTTGAAAACAGCATCTCCACTGGCAAACACGGGGTTCGCAGCATCATAGTCTGGGGCTGCTTTTGTTCCTCAGGACAAGCAAGATATTAAAAGGTGAAGGAAAAATGCATGGAACCAAATACAGGGCCATTTTTTAAGAAAACGCATTGGGGTCTGAAAAAGACCAGAGACTGGGATGGAAAAATAACGGGTCCCAATACTTTTTTTTTTTTTTTTTAATAATTAGGGGTTGTAATGTAATGATTAAAAATCCAAGGGTGTAAATACTTTGGAAAGGGCACTGTACAAGAGTTCAACAAATCATTGACAGAATACTGGTTATCTTCAAACCTAATCATTTCCATAAACTGTGACCTTTCACTGTCTTTTAAGTCTTCTTGTCTGACCGGTCTGGGTGTAACAAAAAGCTCAAAGAAAACAAAAAAAAAAGGGTCTGTTAACACAACACTGATCACATTCACCTTAGAACTACTAATGCCGTCTGTAATGAGCATTAGAATAGTGTATCCTCTATTGTGGGTGGACTTACACCAAACGTTTCAAGAAGAGCATTGAATTTTTTGGCACACCTATCATTAGCTACACCCACAACTATGATGTGGTTGTTGATGAAAACAAATGTTGACACCCCGTAATCTAAATAGAGTTTAATACAGTATAGCAATTTTATTAATTCATTCCATCAAACCTGGAGATGTTGTAGATTTGAATCTTTTATTTTTAAGTATTTAAAAACAAGCTGTAAAAAAAAATAACAAAATACAATGAGAGCCTATTGGAACGGAAAAAAAAACCCAAATCATCCTTCAATTAAGTTGTAGAAGTAACCAGAGGGAAGACACATCCACACATGAACGCACAATCAGCCAACATATGAGCTACTGCCATTTTACAGCAAAACTGCACACATTCTCCTGTTGAGTAGCATACAGACACGCACAATCCCCTTCTGAAAAAATACAGTGAATGAAATGAGAAACAATTGCAGCGTAGATTACAACTGCAATGTCAGCAAGCATCTTTTAAATGTGGTTTAAAAAGTACCAGAAGAGATTTGTTTTGAATCAAAACAGAATTTCAAAAAACAAACAAAAAACAAAACAAAACGCATGAACCTGAACATGATTAATGTAGAGCTTCTGCAGTGAAGATACTCTTAATTTATGGGTCATAATGTTGAGAACAAAGACTTATTACAAGGTGTAGGTGAAGTAAGGAACAAACAAATTATTTTCAAGGTAGTTAATTAGTGCGTTGTTTCAAATGCTTGAGCAAAACATTTTCCCTTATTACATGGGGGGGGGGGCAACTCAGTCAGCTATCAAGTTTAAAAATAAGATTTTGAAATAAGAGTAGATGGTGCAATCATGGTCTTGAACGGTTGAAGCCAAAAACTGATATCTATCAGCAGAAGTCCCAAGAGCCAACAAAACCATCCAGCCACACAAAACGTCATTACTGCGCCTGGAAAGAGAAGTCAAACACATGCAACTTTGTGTGAGATGGAAGTACCGGAGAGCTGTAACAAGCAGCATTTTAAGGAATCACTCCAATATTCCCCCCATTATTGAAGCATTCTTAAGAGTGGCAGAGGTAGGGTACCTGCTGTCCCTGCTGTGGCGGAGCCGCTTGCCCCGGGGCCTGCCCTCCCTGCCCATAATAGGCAGCTTGCTGTCTGTAATACTCCGCCCAGGCCGCACTGTAATCTGGTTGGCCTCCAGGTGCTGCTCCTCCAGCTGGTGCTGCCGGAGTTCCTGGAGCAGACACTGGCCCTCCAGCAGGCTGGACTGAAAAATTAATAGCACAAGGTACATTCTTACAATATTTCGTTCGGACAAATTTCCACTCTCATCCAGACGCTAGTTGAAGAGACTCACTAACTCTAGGTACCAGAGATTCCTGATACACACGTACCCATGCCCATCTTCTTGTAGTACTCCTCCCAAGCCTTCGTGTAGTCTGGCTGACCCCCAGAAGTCTGTGCTGTTTGGTTCTGGTCTCCTGCTGCTCCAGGATCTGCTGGGGTTTGTGCTGGCATACTGCCTCCTGGCTGCTGACCGTAGTACTGTGCATAGTAGGCTGCCCATGCTGCATTCGGGTCTGCTGCTGCCTTATCTGATGGTAGGAGGAATTGAACAAATAATTTCTGCACATGGTAAAGCATATTATCACACATTCGTTTTTGTAACTAGACCAACTCCAGACCAGTTTCACATGAAGAAATATTTTGATGGATGGTCATGAAAACAAATAAAAACTTATTTAAAATACAACTCAGCATTATGTGAAACTTAATTGTAATTAGTCGGAGCCCTTTGCGCGTTAATCTTCAATGAGGCTTAGCAATGCTGCAAGTCATCAAATTTGATGATCTCAGTGTATTCGTATTTGTTGATGTCAGTGCCCATCAGTAATTGTTCCAGTCATTCATTAACTACCCCTTTTCCATTGTTTTTTTTTTTTTTTTTGGTCTTTAAGGCCCTTCTGTCTCATTATTTGACCCGAAACGCTAAACACGTTTTGTAATTTTTGCTATATTGTGAGCTTCTGAACGCCCGCCTCTACTGATTACAAGGATTTGATACGCAGATGCATCAGATTTTCAAACAAAAATTTCTTTCGGAATCTGATGGACCAGACACTTATAAAAGGTACTGAGCACTCAGCATTAGACTATTGTTTGTTGTTTGAATTGTTTTTGTTCCATGTGTAGCACTTTGTGTACAGCGGTGGTTGTTTCAAAATGCTCTATAAATACAGCTGTCTTGAGTACTCACTGGGGTCTTGTGGGCCTGGAGTCTGCCATTGCTGGTAGTTGTTCCCCCAACTCTGAGCACAGTACTGTGGACCACCTGGTGCACCACCACTGTAAAGACAGGGATGATAACTTCAATGATTTTTGTTCATCAGATAGTCCAGGACTAAAAGTTAAGACAATTCCCACATTCAGGGGTTTACATACTGTGGTGCACCACCAGGAGGTCCAGCATTGTAAGGGTTGGGGTTATAGGGGTTCATGGAACCACCGGGGCCTCCCGGACCTGGACCACCACCCACAGGACACATCGGGGCCTGGATAAACAAGACACGTTTCCGTTATTAGTACATCCTTCAATGTGAGTCCATCCAGTCAGTGGAAAACTTTAATGTACCTCAATCTTTTCTTCTATAAGTTGCTTTGCATAGTCTATCTGTTGCGGGGAACCTCTGATTGTGAACATTTTGAAGTTTGGGTCCCCATCTGGTAAGGGCTGACGTAACATCTCTACAAATGCACCAGTCTGTTGGTTAATGGCTTTGACATTTTCCCCTCCTCTGCCAATTACAAGTCCACATTTGTGAGCAGGAACAGAGAAGGTCATCTCTCCCCCTGGAGGGCCCCAGTTCCCCTGGCCTCGACCACGTCCCCGTCCTCCAGGAGGCATCCCTGCACCAGGGGGGCCCTGGGGAACAAAAACTCAGAAGTCAAACTATCTAGCAGATAGAAACACAAACAGACAGACATATGTATGTAAGCCGGGCTGATGAACTGATATTTGTGTCACAGTATTGGTGCATTTTCATGAGTGTCAGCACAGACATACTATATCAGCACCAATACTGGCATCATCAGTATATCCTTTACAAAAAAAAAAAAAAGTTACTTCAGCTGAGTGGATACTTACACCCTGACCCCCGTCATCTCTGGTACGGATACTCTGAAGCAGGTCTGTGATGATGGAGGCAGCATGTTGACACTGGTCAGGGGGACCCGTAATGTGAGCAATTTTTTCAGGACCGGTGCCATCATCTGAAAGGTCAGTGTATGTTTAGCACATTTAGAAAGTGCTGAATGTGTATTTAAAGAGCCAACGATTGGCCCCGATTGCTGATCATGTGATCCAGACAACCTCACCTTCAAGTATAAAAGCTGGCAAAAACTGTCATGAAAACGTCCGATACGCGGTTCCAAAAGCACTCACCTGGTTTAAATTGTATTTTCACTCCAGCATCACTCTGGATTTTCTTAATCATCTCGCCACTCCTTCCAATTACGACTCCCACTGCATGGCGAGGGACAGCTATCTGTAAAATCCCACAGATGAATCACATGGTTGTATTCAAGCACATTTCAAGACCAATTTAAGCCTTTTGTGCTTCAGCTGCTGTGTATCAGTAAAATATTCAGACATATACAGTAGACTTACTGAAAAAGATTCTGATGCAACCATTTTACTTGGTCTCAAAAGAAATATATGGCAGTGAGAGAAAGACTATGTATATATGAGGGCGGTGAGGAACAGGTGCTCTGCATATAAATGGCTAAAATTATTTGCAAGTTGCGATTAGTTTCATTTTTCAAGAACTTTCTCCAAATTTCAAGCCAAAACACACTTACATCAATGCCACTACCTCCCATTCTTGAGCCATATTCATTCCTGTCCCCAAAACCAGTGTGATCCCGATCTCGTAGAATCTCATTGACCATCTCTTTAGCTTGCTGCAAAACGACACACAACCAAATGATGGAAATGCAAAAACACTCAAAACTGAAAGCATGTTTCTATCATAGCAAGACTTTCAAGCACCTGCACTTTGAATGGGTCTCCAATGATGCGCAGTGGTTTATCGACGTTCGGCGGCTGGGATCCATCTTGAATAAGGATCATTTTAACTCCAGCTCGTTCCTTCAAAATTACAAAAGAGTGTTACAAATGTACGGCTGAATAAATGAGTGTCATGCATCCATCCGTTTTCTTCCGCTTATCGGGGTCAGATTAAGTGGGGGATGCAGCAGCTTTAGTCGGGAAACCCAGACTTCCCTCTCCCCAGCCACTTCGTCAAGCCTTTCCGGGGGAATTCCGAAATGTTCCCAAGCCAGCTAAGAAACAGTGTCTCTAGCATGTCCTGGGGTCAGTAGTCCCCAATCACTTGAACACCTCTTGGTTTAGCATTATGGTGAGTTGTTCACAGCCTTTATATTTGTTGTATAATGCTTTACATTGCTTCATTTCATTTCAAACTTTGGGGATTGACTTCCCCATTAAATTGCGTAAATGGAACATTATTCGTGAGAAGAAAAGTGTGGGAGGGAGAACAGGTGATGTACTTGAGTACCAGTAATTGTTTTCCCCTAAATGTTTCAGTTATTGAGGGTTCTAGAGAAGTGATTCGTCCAATTTTCTTTTTAATTACACAAAAATATCAGATACCTATGATGTAGCTAATAAGAGACCTATGTGGGGATGAACAATCTTAGCGATTTATAAAAAAAAGTATGAAATTGATCAATTTGACACGTCGTGGCCCGATGCCAGTGATATGTAAATTATGTTGGACCTTGGAGGCTCCATTTCATGTTCATAATGAAGTGAATTTTTACACTCGTCACTTTTTGACATGAGATTAGTGCTTTCTAATCCATTTTACAAACCTGTAGCTGCTTAATGGTCTCTCCTCCTTTGCCTATAATAAGGCCAGCCTTGCCTGCAGGGATGACCATCTCCTGCATGGAACCTGTCTGCCCATTGGGTGAATCATGTCCCCTTGATATGATTTCATCTATGAGCGCCTTTGCTCTCCTGAAAAAGTAAAGGGTACACACGTAAAAAGTTAAGTACTTTTGGAAAGGTTTCATGCACAGACAAAATGACTCGTTTTCTCAAAGGAAACTTAAATTTCTCTAATACGCATACCTGGCTAGCGTCTGTACTGGCACACAAAATCACTGTTTCCTAATCGTGTTGGTGACAGTGAATGAGTAAGCTGGATTTGAAATTTCCGCTTCTAATTCCAGAAATGTTTTTCTTTGTAGTTTAAAATGGCTTACTTTAACTTGAATCCCGTGTCGTGTCATGGAACTCCGTCACTGCCAGCAACACGATTAGGGAACGCTTATTTTGGGTGAGCGCTTCAGCCATACTGTTCTGGATTTCGGGTTTTATGAATTCCCCTCAAAATATAAGACGTACACTCACGATCGAATATGTGTTTTTCTTCTTCATGATGCATTTTTTTGACTGGTCTGACTTATATTCCAGGGCAATTTATAATTATGGAATATGCAACTTTTAAATTCCATGTCCACCATTACTATAAGACAACTAATGCCCTTTCTGGAAAATGAGCAGTGTTTGTTTCCACTGCTCTCGTTTGTTTGGTAACCGACTCCGACCATCATTGGCAACGTACGACAGGAGCTATCCCTGGACAACAGTAAATCCGGCCATGGAGCAACAGCCTCAATTTATACACCGTTTTTAAGTCCGAGCATCATCTACATGTCCCCAAAACATAAACCGGTTTCCAAAGGCTGCGTGATGAGGCTCGTTGAAGAATTTGCCTCATGTGTCGACATGAGAGACTGAGAAAGGTTCTGGGACGCTACTGTGAAACCAGATGCATTTGACATTGTTTGGGGAGGGGGAGAAAAAAAAAAAAGTGTCTACCGGTACCTGCGTTTAAGGTAAACAAAAAACGTGACTACCCGTGTTAAGGCAAATAAGTGTTTTTTGGTGTGGCGGGGGGTTCTTTTTTTAAATCATCTGTGGGACCTCTACTTACAAATATCCCATGTTATAGCATGGAGACACGCCACTATTAATACAAAGCGGCCAATGCATATACAAATTTGTTTTTAATGGCTAAATTTAGCAGTCGAGCTGAATTCATCATTAAAATATTTCAAAAATGTTCCAACTAAAGTATTGAGTTGTGATTTTATGTACAGCATTTAAAGCAGCTTTATTGTGATTAAAAATCCAGTTTTGCTGATCTGTTAATGAATAAACTTTTCAAATTCAAATCACACGAGAGCTGGACGATTATGGAAAAAAAAAGAATCCCGATTATTAAAATGATTATTATTTTTATTTGTATGTATTCATTTACTCAAAACTATTATCAAATCCTCATGCCCTGCATTTCAAACACAATTCTTGAACACTCCATTTTTTTTTTGTCAGGTACAAAATGACCTTATCAATACTAGAAGTTCAAACCTCTTGCATTTTCATTCTGCTATATCCACTTTTGAAAGTTTGAATAAGCATTACCCTTATCTGTTCATCATATTTATTTTATCTTTTGATATTTTCACATGTCTTGGGACCACAGCAGCTGCCACCTTCACCAAATGCCTCGCCACCCCGACTGTTGGCAATGAATTCATCAATACTAAATTCAAAAATGTATTTTATTACTGATAGTGTCGCTGTCATGTATATCAACGTTTTAATCAGCAGTTTAGAATTCATTCCCACTCAGACCACCAGCAAATGAAAATGGTTGCATCCTACTGCACCACCAATTAAGGAAATACTCAAAGGCATTTGACCGCACTCTTCTAGGTTGGCCACAGACAATCGGGTAAGGTATAATGTACTTGTGGTTGGTCTATACTTAATACTGTATGCTCAAATGGTCTGTCAATTGTGACAACATGCAGTATGTGAAATGTAGTCAACAGTATTTTTGGGTACTCCATCTTGTTTTTAATGAGGCGCCGTGCCAGGAGTAACTTTATTAATCTATCTTACATTGAGGCTTGCTGCCTGACTATAGGAAACAACATTTTGAAAACAATATATCGTAACATCTTCCAAGGATCACGGTAGAGTTAGGCAGTAAACTCATCCATTTGCATCAAAAGCTACTACGGTCTTGTGAAACAAGTCCTGAAAAGGAGACCCCACTCCACCCCACCCCCTCTCCATCGACTTGTACTGCCTCCCATTGACCAAAGTAAGTTATTTTTGTTTTATATAACCCAGAGAGTAGGTTTAGCATTGAAAATCTCACTCTTGACAAAATAAAAACACACTACTGTGATTAGTTGGCATCACATGTGTAAATGTACTACACACGTAGATTTGTTAAAAGTTTTGCAAGTCACCATCATAACCACAGTCTGAATCTCTTAAAGATCTTTATGAATATATCTGATAAATGACGGTGTGAAAAGACTGGCAAAATGTACACTGTTATATGTTTCTAATTAAATCTCAATTATAATTTTTGATCATCATCCAGTCATCCAGCCCTATAACACACTCCTTGGTTTCTCCTTCCCCTTTCTTTCCTTGGGACGTGGCAAAGATAACTAAACATTGTCAAACATGCTTGACAATAATTTAGCTGATACTCAGTGAACAGCACACAAGAAAATACAGTACATAAGTAAAGAGACATAGTGCTCTATCTAGTGATCGCATTAGTAACCAGTTTATTTAAACTTGTTCATCAGCCCCAAAAATCCTAATCGTGTAAAGCCTCATGAAGAGTTTGAACTATCTACTTAACATTCTCCCTACTTCTTTCACCAGAGCCGATCACTACTCTGATTAAACAGCACGAATGTGAACTGCTCATAGCTTAAACTGTAAAGGTTGTTTAGAATGGCTTGACATTGGGAGGGAGGAAAAAAAGTTCAAATATGAAGCTGAGCTTACTTTATGGCATCAGGTGAACCTGTCAAAGAAACACTTCTTTCCGAAAGACCAGCACTGTCTGAAATAAATACAGAAATGTGGCAAAAAAACAAAAATAAACAAAAATGGTAGAGGAATACAAAAATATGCTCATTGTGATGCTCACCATGTGCAATCTGGACCTTGCAACCAGAATCCCGTTGTATTTTGTTTATGTGTTCACCCCCTCTGCCGATAACTAAAGGAAAGTGGATAATTTGTGATTTAGATTTTAACATTCGTAGGACAGCATAGCTATAATTTCTTTTATATGACGGCACTTACTGAGACCAACCATGCTATCAGGTACTCTGCACTCCTCTGTTACTGTCATTGTGGCGGGCCTGACACTGTAAGCAGTGACATAGGAAATTATATTGGCTACATAACACATTACGTCACTGCACTATGGAAGAAATAAGAAAATTATAAAACAAATAAGCTCATACCTCTGTTGAGCCAGGGCAGCTAGTTGTGCTCCAATGGCTGCAAGAGAAGGAGAAACATTTGAGTGGCTGGAAAGTGAGCGGATCCAGCAGTTGAATCAATGTACATTGTCAACGTACACAATGAAGAATCTCTTTCATTCTGTGATGCTACCTTCTTGGCATCTGGTTCATCTAAATAAAAGGAAATGGTAAGCCTATAACAATTATAGCAGTTTCAGACCAAAAAAAAAAAAAAAAAAAAAAAAAAAACAGTTTGAGCTGACTGTCAACCTGCTTCTTCGAGCGATCGTTTCTGTGCGGCGAATGGAAAACCCTCAGCTCCTCCATTGTTGCTTGCCATGTGACCACTCTCACCACTGATTTTAGCTGCAATCTAGAAAGATGGAAAGACTCACTTGAAAATTCAAGAGAGATCATGTGTTTTGTAGACTATAAAAATCAACAATTTGCATGAAGATAAGTGCAAGAATGTATACTACCTTCTCACAATTTGGGCTTTATGTAATGCAGCGGGTTTGTTTTTTTTTTTTTGTTTTTTAAAGAGAAAAGTAAAGTTTTATAGCTGGCTGGAGTTTATTCGATTCAATTATATTGCTGTATGAAGTCATTTGGGAAATTGGAGGCGAGGGCATTGAATCGATCATAGCAAAACTGTTGAGGTTGTGTATCAGTTCATGTCCAATAGCAGAAGACAAAACATCTCTAGCCTAGCTAGTCTTTGAACAGACCTGATGAAGCCTACTTGTATTCCACAATACAATATTTAACAGAATAAATGTGAGGGTGGTCTGGTTGCTCAATGGTTAGCTGACGCTTGTTTGTCTGATTGTTTGTGTGCACTCTGATTGAATGGCACCCAGTCAAGGGCATACACCTTGCCTCTCACTGGAAGTCAGCTGAGACAGACTCTAGCATACCTGTGACACTACTGAGGATAAGCAGTAGACATAGAGGATGGATGGATAGACTCTACTATCTTCTCAGACAACCTGAACACCCCATTTGCAACTCATTCAATGTCATGAGAAAACATGACAATGAATTAGAATACTCACTGCCTCATTTGGGAAATATTAGGCTACACTTCTAGAACTACCTGTTTTCTGGATGTTGGAAATTAAAGTGACCATTATTTGACCTAACCAAGACTTGGCTTTGGGAGTCTTTTTTTTTCCCAATTTATTGTAGACACAAATGTGTGACTGAATTTCCTTTGATTTACATTTTGATTTCTTTTCAGTTGGTCCTTCACTTCTCTAGGTTTTGAGACTGTGAACCTGACAAACATCTAGTGCAATATAGTAAACAGTGCAGTATGGTATTATTTGGAATTCTGCTGTGCAAAAGAAGTTAATATACATTGACACTCCATTCGCATGCAGCAATCGCACAAGCGTGGTGTGTGTGTATATATATATATATATATATATATGTGTGTGTGTGTGTGTGTGTGTGTGTGTGTGTGTGTGTGTGTGTGTGTGTGTGTGTGTGTGTGTG